GGTATAACTGGTATTTTACACTCATAACTCAGGCCTAGTCCACACGTAGCCAGGGTTTTTTGAAAACGAATATCCGCCCCTCCAAAAACTTGCATCCACACCACTGCGTTTAAAAAAAAACTCTGTCCACACGTACCCGGATAAATACGTTGTTAAGGACATGCCAGACCTGTAGGTGGCAGTACTTCCCCCGTTCTTAACCTCGTCCTTCGTCTGTGGTCTTCCGCAAGGAGCAGTAATTCCGCTTGCAAAAACAAACAAGCAAAAAGCGCTTGGACAATTGATAACGCGAGCGCAGCTCTGAGGGCATCCACGCTGTCGGCTAGTGTAAACACAGGTCGCACACGTGATGTCAGCATTTTTTTGTCGCGGAAAGTGACGTTGCGGACCTTAAAACTCCGATTTTGTCTGTCCACACGCAGACACCCAAAATGGAGAAAACGCAGATCTTCACTTTGGCCGGAGTTTTTAAAAAGATCCGTTTTCGTGTGGATGACAGGCCAAAATGTAGAAAAATATCTACGTTTTGGCAGATCCCCGGCTACGTGTGGACAGGGCCTGAGCCGTTGTCTCGTAAGTGCTGAAACTTTCACCTCCCAGGCTTGGGGACGGATTTGAGTCTCTTTTGAACAAAACGAGTATTGATCTGAGCAAATGAGCGGTAAATTAATTCTAATCAGCTGGTGTAACACACGCCAAAAACGGCTTGTCACATTCTCAGAGACAGAGGTAGAAGATCAAACAGGAGTCCTTTTCATCTGGACAGTTAATCAGCGCAAACCCTCCTCCCTACGGCTCGTCTTCGATGACCAATGCTTCCTCTTCCTCCTGACTGCTTTGATCAATGATCTTAGCCAGTCCTAACACAAAGGAGCTGGGCCAGATCACATTAATACCACCATTAATAATGGATCATTATTAATGAAGTTCCCTGCATCAGGCAGCTATGAATGGGGTCCTTTTCTGTACTTTTTCAGGCTAATGGCCACAGCGGTTTGAAGTGGGCCCTCATCGTCGGCCCTGACATGATTCACACTGGCTTTGTCCTTCCTGATTGCAACTTGAACGCTGTGTTCTGTTGTGTTGTTATGATTGTAGTGCCCTGGAGCAAAAGAGATGCTAGCTGAGCCAGCGTCTGCGCTCGCAGGATGAGGTCAGCAGCAGTTCAGAGTTCTGTGTTTCTGGCACAGCCGTCTTGATGTTTCTGAAGTGGAACACACTCAGAAAATCCTAATCCAGGTGTGATAAAAATTCATAAATGACTTAGAAAAACGCAGTTATCTGCTACTGCAAGAAATAAATAAGTCATTGATTTAAACCCTGAAAGATGAAAGCGCTCCGACAAAATAACGAGGACTCGTTCGTGTGCCAAACTTCAAACAGTCGGAGGAAAGATGAGGCTGTGTTTACTGTTACCTGTGTTGATTTCTGCCTTGCTGCTACATTCGTGACATTCTCCAGATAACAAAACATCCTCTTTGGAGAAGGCATTAGCACACACCAGCACGTCCTCTCCCCCTCCATCGCACCAAGACATGCCTGTGGAAACGTGCAGCAGCAAATGGTGACACGACAGACAGGCTGCTCCTCTGCCTGTTGGCGCGCCGCGTAAATTTTACATGAGGCGAAGCTGGTGTGTGTGTGTGTGTGCGCGCGCATTTGTGTGTGTCTGTTAGAACAAGAAGGCAGTGTTAATGCACTGAACCTGAAATAAAATGGCATGTTCATTTTTTTAACCAGCCTGTCTCATCGCATTTTTCGTGTAGCCAGAATCTCTTACGTCTACTTGAAAAACCAAATGTGGATGACTGTTAAAACCTTTTAGCAGAGGTCAAAGGTAACGCCTAAGTCACATGAGACTGACTCCTCTTTTTCTATCGTTTCTACGAGACATTTCAGTTTTTGTGACGTTAGCGTTAACGACAAAGCGTCTTATTCATGCTAAACCAAATTAGCTTTATTTTTAGTAAAGGAGCATCAGGCCTGATGGTTACAGCAAACACCATTCAGCCAAGGATCCATTCATCCAGCTGGGAACTTGCGGCATGATTTAAAATCACCTTGATTTACTTTCTTGTACATTTCGATTACTGACTGAGGTTCACAATCTGTCCCAAATTAGCTCATCTTGTCTCTAGCTCATTTGGCAGCGAATCAGCCTGTAATTAATTAGATTGCAGGAAAAGATTAAATTACAGACTGAATGCACATCGGGGGACACGTAAGTCAGTGATCTACGACACCATTTCAGCGCTGTAATGATGTCACACTGACAGATCTCTGTTTGTCCTACAGGAGATGAGAATGAACCAGAGGAGAATTTAGTTTTTAGGACCTGAAGGATCATTGTTGAAGAACGTGCTCCTGCTCGTTTTGGCCGTCAGTGTGATGGCTAAAAACACACCTGTAACACACTTATTTACTTTCATACACCTTTTATCATAAAAAGCTTAATTTATGAAAGTTTACTTTTATAAATCAGTTATTTAAAAAAAAACAATCCATTACTTTTTTAGTAGATTTAGTTTAATTAGAATCTATTGAAATATAAACAAAACATCAAACTGCTGTCAGCGTGGATAAAATAGCACAGAAGTTAAATTGGTGGTTTTTTAGCCCTTTGAGACATGAACATTAATAATTAATTCCACCGTCCATTGTGTAGGTCGACATGCACAGCCCTTTTCATTTGTGTCTCTTCACAATGTATCGACTACATTTTCATTTTCTTGCTGTTTTTGTTTGTTTATTTTGTGCAAAATGGAATCTGTGATTGAAGTGTTGCAGGAAACCTACCTAACGCTTTTCCAGTTTAAAAACACGTTAGTGGATGATGCATCATGTGAAGGAGCTGTTACCTCTAGTGAGGGATTCTGATCATCAACAACATTACTAGCTGGTTTTCATTTTGAGCAGGAAAACATGAAAAAACATCAGAAATAGGAATTTAATGCTACAGGTCTTATCTCCATCTAGGCGCAGCGTACCACACCTCTTGGAGTAAGATTTCTTTGTCCTATAAGCATCAACGTGCTGATTTTGATTCCAGGTTTGGGGTAAGGTTCTAAATCATTCGATAGAGGGCTGGTTTTGTCTTCTTAAGCAAATAATGTTAGTGCTAAACTCAGATTGTGTGCCTGAATAGGAGAAAATACTGTCAGAGAGAGGATTAAAGTTCTATCATTCCTTAAAAGGAAGTCGTATCACCCACCACCCTGTCAAGACTTTACACCACGATATTCAGAAAAGATGGATTTATTGTCTTGCTCTAATCTCGACTCTAGTTTTATGCTCAGCCCTGTTAGTATGTCTGGTGAATGACCCTCGGCTACTACCTCATCAAATCCTAGTGTTGCGTCTGTGATGCTGGATCTGGTGACCATCTTAAATTGGGTTCCTTCCAGAAGTTGTAGATAGTAGCTGTGTTAAAGTCCAGAGGTGCTGCATTCTTCCGAGCGGTGCCAGCGCTCCATCACAAAGGGCACCAACCAGTCTGGCTTATTAAAAACAAGAGTTCAGAGAGGAGCTCTTCTCTTCTTCCTCTTTCTGTGAGACTGGTGGGGCGACACCCTGGCGCCCCCTATGGACGAGCCGTCACTGCTTAGGGGGGTTATTGAAGCCTAGAAGGCCCTATCTAAATAATGGCTGGTTACCATTAATTTTAACTTTTGTTTAGCACCATCGTGGTTGCTAAGTGACAGCACAGAAGCTGAGGCAAGGGCGTAATTAAACAGCAAGGCTAGACTGTCTGAATTCACAGCTGCTCCCTTCTGGTCTTATCGGTTAAGGAAGGACCCGCCCTACATGGACCGGGTCGGAAAGGTTCTTGCAAGGATGAGACCCCTGGATATGGACAGACCATCACTTCATGGTTATTTCCTCGGGTACATTAAAATCAGTCCATTGATTCATTGCCTTTTGGCAGCAGGTGTTCATAATGAAGATGGATTAACTGCTGGTTTCTTCAAGAGTCTGTTTTTCTCTTTTTGGTCCAACATCAGCCTGATGGCTGCAGACTGATGGCGGTGTAATCTGCAGGGACCATTCCCTGGGCACACAGATCGACTCTCAGAAGCAACAGGAAATGATTTAAAAGTCACAGTTCAGCTTCACATCACTGCTGACCAGATACACAAGCACGACACATTCAGGAGAATTACATCAACTCTACGATTTTCTGTCCCCCCCCCCCCCCCATCTCCCCCTTCTAACAGGCCACTCAACTCCGATTTATAGACCTAGTATGGTCCTAGGCCTTTTAGGAGATGAGGTGGAATGGCATATTCTCAGCGTGAACGCTCATTTAGGAAATTCTGTGGAAGTGTTGCAGGCCATCTGCACAGCCGTTTCCAACTTGAATCCGTTCAAAAGCTGTTCTGTGACTGAGCGGCATGAGGCTAAAGCAAAAAGAAAAGGACCATCGCAAGAGGCGTTGAACGTGTTTCCTCATTTAACTGTAACTCAACTCGTGTCGGGCTCAGACACTAAAGGGTGAGAAGATGTAAAATGTGATTTTGGATGAGAAGCATCCATGTTTTCAGTGGCTGTTCCTGGGCTGTATAGCAGAAACACACACGTAAGGGGACATCTTTCATCGACAGTATACGTACGGTCGCAGATATGCTCGCTCTGTGAAAGCAGCATAATCTGCTCTGGAGTGGCAGCTGTGGGTAGAGGCGTTTGTTCTGAGGAAGATTTGTTTGTTTGGGTCCTGGCACCCAAATGAGCGGTAATCAGAGGAGTTAGCAAACAGGATTGTGTTAGCCATGACGCCAAGATTCCACCCCCCCAGGGCCCAGGCGTAAACAGCTCTTAGAATCAGGCCAGACTGACACCAGCTCACATTTTGTGAGGTTAGTTTGTTTAATGTCAGCTAATTTTGTTGTTTTACATGCTGCTTTAGTTTTCACCTGCTTTGTGTCTATAACGTTTCCTCTCTTTATTATAATGATTCCTGCCTTTCTAAACCTCCTCCTCCGTCCTCTGTGTATTCCTCGCAGGCCTGGTTGTGAGAGAGGCCAGCATAGAGATCACTCGGCAGCAGGTGGAGGAGTTGTTTGGGCCTGAGGACTTCTGGTGTCAGTGTGTGGCTTGGAGCTCCGCTGGAACCACCAAGAGCCGCAAAGCCCACGTCCGCATCGCCTGTGAGTATCTGCACTCTCGCTTTTGTATTCCTCTCTAAATCAAATCTCCACTGCCAGACCAAGGCTTTCTGCTAACGCTATTCATGCTTTGAACTTTTTTCAGAAGAAAGTTTAGGAAAAGTTAGCGATTGAGGTCCAACGTAACCCCTAGAAGGAGCAGGGAGGAAATGGAGAGTTGAAGCAATGTTTACACATGGAGGATATAATACGATGGATGTTTATATCAGTGTTCCCTCGTTTTGTTTCCTCCCCCTCCACAGACCTCATTTGTTTTCAGACTGTCTTTGTCCTCCTACATTTTTTTCCCAAAGTATTGAAAAACACAGCCTCAGCTCTGGAGTAGCGGTTCGTTTTAGCCGTTTCCCCAAAGGATGTTCCTGTTAAAATCTGAAAAGTAATGAAACCCCACAAGACTGTGCAGTAAACAGACTTGTTTAAGTACAGTTGCAGCATCAAGGCAGCATTTTTACAACACCGGGGTGTGTTATGCAACACATCTGCTTATGCACTGTTGTCAAGTCATCACCTGAAGGCACTCCTTTAGCAGCATCAGAGAGATCGTGTCACCTCCCAGCTCCTGTCAGTCACTGTTTTGCCAAAGTTGGTTCTTTCTTCTCATTCGGTAACCAAAAAAAGGAAATATTTACTCCGCTTCATTAGGTACACCTATACAATTTGAACACAAATAGCTGATCATCCAATCACATTACGGCAACCTTATGCATTAAAGACGCCCTTCACTGAGAAAGATAGAAAATAGACGATGATTTGAAAAGCCTGACAGATCTACGTCACGCTGTCATTTTACGTTCCTGGACTCACCCATCTCGACTCACTACGGGGAAGGCTGTTTGGTTTAGCGTCCAGGAATCAGCGGAGAGCATCTCTGCTAGTAGAAACTAACTATTAGCATTAGCAACTCCAAAACACAGCAGAACTCCTCCATGCTTGTGTAATTTGTGGGGATAAACCATCAACGTTGCTGAGCAAATTAAGTCAGTAGTAGAGTCGCATTGTTGTTAGCCAATCTGAGGCTACATGTCAGAATATCAGGAAATAAGACTCCTGCCATCTGAAGCTGCTTTCTCCTCCAGCTGAATTCTCTTTTTCCCCTGACTGCGACTTACAAGGCAAGAGACGAGACAAAGAGCACAGCTTAATGAAAATATGAGTGAAGGACTTCTGTAAGACATCTAAATGATAAATGACCCACACTTGTATAGCGCCATTCAGAGTCAGAGGATTCCAATGAACTTTACACTATGGTGTATCGTTCATCCGTTCACACACACATTCACACACTGATGGAGATGAGCTACAATGCGGCGCACTGACAGAGGCGTGGTGAAGTAAGTGAAGAGGGCTTGCTGAAGTTTAAACCAGGAAACCAGAATAATGACAGTGAACATGGCATGGTTGTTGGTTCCAAGTGCGGTGGTCTGAGTATTGTGGGACCCGCTGATCTACTGGGAATTTCACCCACAACTATCTCTAGGGTTTATATAGGTTGGTCAATTAAAGAGAAAGTATCCAGTGAACAGCTGTTATTTGGATGAAAATATTTTTTTGATAGACAGTAGCTCAAATAACCCCTTGTTACAACCAAGGTCTTTAGAATGTCAATTCTGAATTTCCAGCATGTTGAAGCTTGAAGCAGATGGACTCCAGCAGCAGAAGACCACACAATCTGATGGGTTTTGATATCAGCTGCAACATTCAGATGGTCAGAACCAACTGAGTCTGGTTTAAACCCAGCAGCTTCTGAGTACTGCTTAACCATGTCCATCCCTATACGACCACATGGGCCCATCTTCTTATGGTCACTTCCAGCAGCATAAAGCACCACGTCATACATCTCAGATCATCTCTGACTGGTTTCTAGAACATGATGATGAGTTCACAAGATCACAGTCCAGTCCAGAACCTTTGGGATGGGGCGGATCTGGAGTTTCCATAAATCTGACTTGAAGCATTAAGGCGGTACTGGTGAGGTGTACCTAAAGAAATGTCTGGGGGGTGAAAACTAATTGGATAGGGACAAATATACAGTATCTATTTGTTCAAGTTTCTCGGTTTTAATCTTATTAAGCTCTTCGTCGTTACGTAATTAAATAAATACCAACTGTCTCTCACCTGCTGTTTGCCTGCATTTCCTTCACAGTTTGTCTTCAAATTTGGTGCATTCTCTTTATTTCAAACACTCTTATTATTGCTTCTATTGTAGCAGCCTGGTGAATCAGACTTGAGCCTCTCAGTCTCCCACTGAGCCCGCTCCCGCTGCTCCACCTCACATAATCGCCCGTGATGAGAGGCCTGCCAGTGCTAACCTATCCCTCAAATCACAATGGACCCCTCTTCCCCTCCCATTAGCTTCTGCTGAATGGATTAGCTCCTCCGCTGGGCTTCCTCTTCAGGCAGCCGTCTTGTCAGAGGCAGACTCCGTCCCGTTAGGCTAATGGAAACTGGGGTTGTTTTCCTCTCCTCTCACATCATCTAAACATAAGCAGTTTAATCCGATGGTGAGTCACAGCCAGCTAAAAGAGTGCTGTGTTAAGGGAGGAGGTTTTTAGATGTGTAAACATTGCTGGTCGAGCAAGAAGTGTGGCAGGAGTGAAACCTAAAAGTCTCTCTGACCTTCAGAGAATCCTCTTGATTGGTTTCTATTATTTGGATGCAGTGGTTGCTCACCCAAACTCTGGCAACAAAAGCATGAACATGAAAATTAATTAACAAAAATGTCTTCCAAAGGTCTTGTGAAAGGTGTCTGTTTTCAGAAGAAAGGGAATAGATTTTTTCATTTATCTGTTAAAACCTCAGCTGTATCGAAAGGGACTTCACTAACTCTTTAGTGTTTCATTTAGTCTCCATCCCGGCATGCGCTCACCGTCATTTCTAATCTTAGACTCGTTCCAGTAGCTAATTATTTACCGAGCATAGGATAAACCATTTCTTAAGAGTGAGGCTGGGGTAATTTAGCATGAGTAGCCAAACACATCCACTTAAGGTAATGGTTGTCAGATGGGCATCTTTCTGTGGGCTTGTGAGGCTCAGAATGTTTGTGCACCGAGGACAGAATAGTGCGACTCCCACAGGAATGTCGACTCAGCTCGTCTCACTCCTACTCGGTGAGCCGCCGGGCCGTTTGGGGTAAGGAGGAGAGAGGAAAGGAGGGACTCGAGGGGAGAGGAACACTTCAAAACCTGTATTGATTAAAGTATTTAAAGCAAAGAATTTACTCTCTTGTTACTTTTACATCAGTCGTAATGCAGAACAAATCTGAGGGAGCCAACTCAACTACAGATCAAAACAAAATTGACTTTTGCAACAATCTAAGCTTTGATTAAAGGTACAGCGGAGGATGTTTCAGAATTTCAGGAAAGAACCACCCTGTCCTTGTTTTGGGGAAAAAAAAATGCTCATGGGAAAGAACGCCCAGTTATCCCCGTTACAAGTAGCTGCCGGCCTTGCAGCCAACTTCTTCTAGCAGTAATCGGAAATCAATTTCTCCAAATAGTATGCTGAGCAGAAAACCGGCAACAGAGGCATCTGTGGGGAGCCCAGCCTTCGCTTTGCGCAGGAAGTGAAAACTACCCAGCAAAGTATGGCGATGTACGACGACGGCCTGGCATTAATGGTTCACCAGAAGGATTGACAGTAAGCGGACCGATGGTTCAGATGATCCACCCGCAGCAAAACGATCCTTTGCTATACCTTTAAATAGACGTTTTACTTAAAAACTAAATGAAAAGTATAGAAAAAAACATGTTTAAGCTGCAGTCTGAGGCACATTAGGGTCTCCATGGTAACCACATGCCTGTGTCTATCAATACTTTAACCAAAGTGAAAACAACCTAAACTAACCAAACACCAATGCACAGTAAACCATTATTAATATTACAATGTGTTTTTACCTTTAAACTCTGGAAATATCCATCATTATGTTGAAAATGAATTAAATGATGTCCAGTTGTTCAAAAATAATGGTGGCTTCATAACATATAACATAACAATTGGGTGTATAATACATGGGAGCAGGTCAAGTGTCTGGGCGACATCATTTTATTTCCTTCTACGAGGGTGTGAGGAAGAAATATATTTATTGACTTGTAACAAATGGTTCCAAAGCTCTCTCCATACATAAACATTGCTGTTTTACACGTTTACCTCTTCACGTGTTGCCTGTTGTGAAAGGCAGTCTGATGTATGTGTTATTTTGCTGGAGGTTGAACGACCCTATTGGCCATTCGTTGGTATGGTCTTACTCGAACACAAGAATAGGTATGTACTGCCCCTTATCACCAGGAAAAATACACACAGTCACCTTAAACCACAGCCAGTAAACAAAAAGTCAGGAATTCAGAAATAAACGTTTTGAGCCACACCCTAACAGGCTGTCGGCTCAGGGGCTGCACACATCAGCTACTTTGGCCCAATTCCAACTCACTTCCATACTCGCACCCCTCAATTGTGTGATCCCGACCAGGGATGCCGGTGTGTAGGGTGTCCCGATTCTCAAGTGCGGAAGTTGATTACACCCCTTTTGCACCCTTGATCAACAATTCGCCCAAGTCTGCATCCATGTGGACTTAGGTGAAGGGTATTACCCACAATCCATTGCTGTGGGAGAAAAGTGCCTTTTCTGAAAATGTTTTTTCTAATCAAAGTAGTTCATTTTAGGATGATTAGTTAATGCACTGAATGTTTTACAAAGCAGTAGTGAAGGTACATTTATTTTAAATAATTGTTTGTGTATGAAAGTTGTTAATAAAGGTTTTCTTTTAATTATGACAGCGACCATCATCCCGGCATGAGCTGAAGTTGATTACGCAATGCTTCCTGTCCCAACTTGGCAAGGCTGCTGATGCACCCATACAGTGCTGTTCTTCACTTTTATAGTCCCTATGCCACAAGATACATACACAGTGGTTCCACTTGCTTCCTACATGCTTGACCTGGCAGCCACACATCTCCATTGATAACCTATTTTGTTAAATAGATTA